GTACATTCCCAGACGTTTCGCCGGCATCGTAGTCGGCATCGTCAGTGAGTTTTACTATTCGTAGCACCATATTACAACTCGTCGAAGAGACAAGTGAAGCCGATTCTTTGACCAAACGTGTGCTAAACAGTTATGGTATCTCCCCTTCTGCCCTGGCCTATTCACATTTCCTATATTCTCCAATCATACCTTCACTGTCATAATATTTTACTTGCTTAATTAAATGTGGTACGGTGTGCCCTTTTTTAGTGGCTTTCATGAGAACGCTCCGCAGTCCACGCTGGCCTTCTCATCCCCCTTCATCCTTTTGCTGGGAATGTTGATCAGAGTCTGCCATATTGTTACGCAGTTCTCCTTCCATAGATTTTACCACAGTCTCTCTCTTGCCCCGTAAGATCCGTCTGCCCTCTCCCTGGTTCACATATTTCACTCGACCTCTGACACCCCATCTGTGCCAGTCGAGGCGTTATTCGCCCTACCTTCTGTTTGAGTGACTAATTCGAGGCTCAAGCCTCTGAGTAAGTGTCATGGTCACGCCCTTGCCACATGGACCACGTCACTTATAAAACCTACTGTCAGCCCACTAGCTCCCATCGCCGCCGCGTCTATCCTATTTTTATCTCTAATACCAACTCTATGATTTCCCATGCCCTAGTCTCTTGTGTGCTAACCCACAAATGTTGTGGTACTGCTTAGTTTGGTTAGGTTCAATATTAAACCAGACTTGCTATTAGAGATAGAAACAGGGAGGGAGCTGATGAGACCTATGCAAGATAGAATCCGTTTTCTATTCTAAATGAGAGAAACCTCCGGGAGGCAATTCTAAGTGAAATTAAATGGCATCGTGGGCCCTTCTCATCTTATTCTTAGAAAACCTAGCTTTTAGTCATTAACTAACTTTAATATTGCAGTACCTTTCATTTAGAAATCCATTTTTTCTGCATTAACTAACTTTAATTGACCTAAGGTTATCAAGTTCTTAATATCAATTAAAGTTAAACTTTGTTCATCATCCAATGTCAGGCATGGAACTCTTTGATAGGGACTTTGGACCTCCCCTATGCTTGTTTTCATAATTTATTTTCGTTAGCACTTGTCTTTATAACATTTTACTAACATACTTGAATAATTTCCTTATAGTATTTTCCTAATGCAGTTCGGCATAAGGTTCATTTTCATAATATTGTATTTTGGCGTAGTTCCCCAAATGCGTATTACTTATTCACCAATATTAGCTGCCTTTATCACAGTTTGCTCATTAGGCAGAAAGCGTCATTACTAATATCTAGCTTTATTGACCCTTTGGTCTTATCCGTTCTCTAGTGCAACTCGCATTCTGATCTGGTCGCTTGCTACTTAAAGAAGTATGGTTTATGCTCCATCTCCCGTCTTTGTGAGCTCTACCAGGCTGAAACTCGGCGTTCCATCCGACGTCGTCTTCTTTTAATACTTGCTGCCTGCTGTGCTGCCCAGCCAGCCTGCTTGCCCATCTGTCTGTTTTCAATTCTACCACTTGAATTACTACGCGAGATCTCCTCTACAAGGATTGGTTAGTTAAACGACATTACTTATAAGTAGATTATATCATGTTTTGTAATATTGCCCAAACAATTAAATAAGAAATATGAGATGTATTCACCCTATTTCGTTTAAGGTAATGAAGAACTGGTAGTAGAATTTTCTTACAATGATATGAGTAGAGCTGAAGTTTCCATTGAATTTCGTAATGCCTTGCTTTCCCATAAGTTGTTCTCATCCATAGTGGACATCTCATATTACTGATTTACTGGTAGTGCCAAACTCTACTCAAATACGAAAAGTAGGTAAGCAAGGCAATGTGAAATTCAATGGAAACGTCAGCTCTACTCATATCATTGTGGGAAAATTCGACTACCAGTCCTTCATCACCTTAAACGAAAAAGGGTGAAAATATCTCATATTACTGATTTACTGGTAGTATCGAGACTCTACTCAAATACGAAAACTAAGTAAGCAAGGCAATGTGAAATTCAATGGAAACGTCAGCTCTACTCACATCATTGTGGAAAAATTCTACTACCAGTCCTTCATCAAATTAAACGAAATAGGGTGAATACATCTCATATTACTGATTTACTGGTAGTCTTAAAACTATACTCAAACACTAAAAATTAAATAAGAAGCCTATAATCATTTGGCTTATCGTAAAAATAACTTCATGAATAAGTTCTTTCGAATGAATGGTAATATATCGCAATTTTTCCAGGCCTAATTCATTTGAGCTCTTTCGAAAGCGGTTATTCGTTAGATTTGTTCAAATCGTGTGCGAAGTTTCGTATGCTCCCATAGTAGTTGCAGTAAAATTGTTTTAGGCGTAGCTCCCACTTTGTTTGTAAAGACAAATGGATCCGCAAATTAGTCCGACTGAAAACCGAAGGAGGATTTCCATAAGCTTGTGGTTGCTTAATTACGCAAGGTATACTTCGGATCACCATTTTGCGACCAAAATAAATTCGTGCTAACAGAGATCCTCATAGCCAAAAGCCATCATGTCAGAAAAATACTAACCCGGGAAAGGCTTCCTGACGACGTTTTTACTTCGCTACATAGTCACAAGTGCCGGGGAATCATAGGACAGATGTGACATTCAATTTAAGTCAGGCCATTCCCAAATCAAATTTAATTGTGGTATACGCCCCGGTGTCTAACCCCGTTCGGGTGCTGATGTGACCTAAGCGATAGCAAAACTACAGTCCGCCCTGAATTAGATAATCTTGTAGGAGGTGAAATATGATGGCTTTCTGAGGCCTACTCACCTCACGGTGAGAAGGTTCAACTATCAGTGCTAAAATAACCTTAGGCGATCTAGGATAACTAAGTGAAGTGTATTTGTGTTATTTCGTAAATTTTAAACGCTAATGTGCCCAAAGATTGAGATTTTCATCCATTTCCATTATCGGATATTCAGCTTAAGACACAATAAACCTACTAGAGAGTTCTCACTTTAGGAGCATGTTCACTTTTACCAGTACCTTTTATTTACGCCTAGCGAGTTTCTTCAGCCTAATTCCTCTATTTATTTAAATCATCGGCCAATGACACAGCCTTATTGACTATTATTCGGAAATAGTAAGCATGCTGAAATCGGTTAGGCGAGCCAAATAAGAATTATAGAAGATATGTAGACCACGTGATGTGGCCATTGGCATGGTCGCAATCTCTTTTCGATATATGAAAGTGTGCTGACCTCGTTTTCAAACTTGGTCGTCTTATTAGGGTGACTTAATTGGACGCACATTGTCTAAAGTCCTCTGCTATAGTAGGTATCATAATTCCCAGCGTCGGACCGTGGACTTGGTACATTCTTCGATGTTTCGCCGGCATCATCAGTGTGTTTTGCCATTCTCAGCACCAAGCTACAATGCGTCAAAGAGATAGGTGGAGTCAATCCCTTAACCATCTTTCTGCCGAAATGGTTGAGCTATCACTCCTCTTTCTGTCCTGGCCTATCTATCTACTCCTTACCCTCTTGTCTTACCCATGCCCTATCACAACCTCTGAGTGCTTGTATTCATCCTCCGGAGGTGTGCCTTTTCTTGGCGAGCTTAGTGTGGCATCATCACACCTGTTCATCTCGAACCTTTGCACCCTTGAACCTCTCTTTCAATTGGCTGATCCGACTCCGACCTCCTATCCCGATTATTAAAATGTATTTTATGCCAATGGTTGACATTATTAATGTGAATGTTGGAGTGTCTTTCATTTCCTTTGTAGAGACCAATGGAAGGGATGTGTATGTCGTTTTCATCGGAATTCGAAGAGAGGTCCTCTGCTATAGTAGTTATTATAATTTCCACCGTCAGAATGTACCAAGACTATTGTCTAAATCTTGAAAATAGGCTACCTACTATAGCAAAGAACTTCGGACAAGGTGCGTTTAACTAAGTCCTTCTCATTTTAGACTAAGTTGCGAAAACAAAGTCAACCGATTTCAAAATATTATGTTTAAATATCGATGATTTAACATTTAGTAAGTTGTCTAACTCCTATTCAAATTGCCTATGTACTTCATAAGATCAAGGTAATCTGTTATCTTTGTTGTGCTTTATTAAAAACCACACATATGCCATATTAATATCTCCATATTCTATTTCAGTGTACACTAGAAAATCAAGCAAGCAATAGATTACACAAGTAAAAGTTGGATTTCTAGCACTACCTTGTTTCGTAATTGCTACGCTTAGTTCCATTTCGAATGAAAGTTGTTGGTCAAGAGGTTCGAAGGTTGATATCGCCAGAAGACGACGGCGTATGCCTCTTGGATAGCAGTTTATTGACTTTGTCCTTAATTTCTTCTCCAACCATATTTTAAAAACAAAGTTTGGCGTTTGAAACTCTATGATTATACGGAGCAAAAGACTTGCCGATAGAGAAAATTGTGATACTGAAATGGACTAATATTTCTTGAAAATAATTATTATTTAGATTTGACTGAAAATAATATTAGATTATTAAATAATACCTTTTTGAATCGTGGCTAAGTAAGGGGCAATAAGGAGACCTTCCCTCATGTTTTGTCTCTTTCTTCGTGCATTATCTCTAAAAAAAAGCTGGGCGAACTAGGAAGAAAGTGAGGAATAAAAACGGTTTACAGGGAAACGATGAAACTTTCTTCAATTATGCCCACCTTTAGGGAGAAAGTTGACTAATTAGCCAGATCGGGTTGCAATAAAATAATGTGTCTATGTGGTCGCATTTATGTTGGAAAGACTTGTTGTCCCATTCAACAAATGGTGGCCGAACACAAAAACGCCAGTAGAGGTTGGATACGAGATTAAATGGTCTCATACATCTCGTTTTGCTGATTATGATATGTCTGCGGATATGAATATTATTAAAGAAGCAATCAAAATAAATCGAAGTTGGAATACATTAAATTTAAGGAATACTGGCAATAAGTAAAGTCTAAACTACTTGTGCTTAATTAATAGACTAAAGGATGTTGAGCTGCCTATAAAAAGGAGGCGACTCAACTAGTATTTTTTTGTAGATACGAAGAGAAATTTGGTTTCGATAAATATTCTGAGATAACATTGTTAAGGGGACCTTCATTTCGCT